ATGTCGCCGCGAGACATCTACCTAGAATTCGCCGCGCGCCTATGATCGGATCGGTAAACGAGCCGCGCGCCTGCGAGGGAATCGGCAGTAGCATTGTCCACCATTCATATACAAGTGACCTACCAAATGAATCTGTTCCTGAACCTTCCTGGACTAGCAACATTTACAGAATTTGAATCGAGATTATCTCAAGCAAGAGGATTCCTGAGGAAATGCTCGAGGACGAACTATCAGCAAGTTCGCTCATCTCTGAACTGGTAGCAGACTCTCAGAGGATCGGGAACGTTTGAAGGCACAGTCACGACAAAAATGGTTACTTAGATTGCCCGCTAAAACGAATCTGCTCTCCAAAAAGAGTACATGGGCCGCTGTCAGGACCAAAAACGGCTTAGTCATGACGTAAAAATGGCCAAAAGACCGTTTTGGCCAAAACAGGCGCTCAAAGTGGCCGTGTTATGCCGGCCTTGTTATCACTGCACAATTCATAGGAAGAGACAAATAGTACGCTTAAATGAGAAACATCCAGACGACCCTCTCCTGAAACTTCCTTTCTTGCTACTTTTTTGATGTCTTATATTTTTGTAATCCGACAATTTTCGCGCTATTCTACGCCATGCCTCCCATTATTTCACTCAAAGTAAAAACTTGAAAATTTTCGTGAACTACCTTTATAAAAACCTTTATAAAAAATTGATGGGTCTAGAGTAAAATTAAATTGACGTAGAATTGAAGTGGTAGCTTGGTAAAGACGGGGGCGGCAACAAGAGCTTGCCCTTTTCAACTATAATTTCATTAGTGAACATCTCGAAAAAACTACTCTCCCACTCACCCCAACCCAGATTTTTAGGACCCAGAAAAAAAAACGATTTTTTATTAATCCTAGCAAATAAAAATAGAAGCACCTGATGACAATGTGTAGTCTAGGAGCTCAAGAGATATTTTCCAGTAAAATCCGCCATGAATCGAATCTCTTGTGGTTTATGTGGGAGCCATGAAGGCTTTTCCTCTTCATTTGGATTACTTTAGATTAGATAACTGAGCGAATGACCGAAATAGTAACGATAATAGGCTTTTTCCGCCTCTCAAAGATATACTCAAATTATTTTTAGGGTGAACTCTTTATTTATCCGTGGCTAATTTCCTCTTATCCACTAACAGGTAATAAGTTCGACTCAATTTGCCGCTAATTTCAGATGACGGTCTCGGACTGTCGTAAACATCCATTTACAGCATTTTATTATTAATATATTATTGATATAATAATAATACTGATATAATACTGATATAATAATCAACTTTTCAAAATCATCTCGGTCCCTATTTACGATGCTACAGGAACAGAAGGTCAGTGATAATGAGAAATGGCAAAAGATAGAAGATGATTTGTGAGGGTTGAAGTGGTTCTGAGAAATGATATTTGACCAGGTACGAGTTGAACAAACCAGACAGTTTGATCCTTCTGCTGGATCATTTGCATTCTCTCTGTTTGTTTTGAATTTTACTTTAACGCATATTTTATGCTTCTTCTTGACCGCGACTTTCTTCTTATAGTTGTGGGAGTAAAATTAAAACAAACAGAGAGAATGCAAATGCATCCAACAGAAGGGCCAAACTGTCTGGTTTGCTTATATCACCAGGTACATACGGCTTGGCCTGACTCCCCAAACAACATCAGAGGGAAGCTACCACTGCTTCAGATGTGAGCTTTCAAATTATTGCAAGAAACTACTTGAAGAATACTCCAAATCGAAAGATCGCTCTATCTCAAATCATTTCAGGGCAGAACAGATGTCATCGGATACCTGTTAAGTTCAAGAGGACTCTTGAGCTTCCGCAGCGGAGCGACAGCAGATATGATTAAACGGTGGCCGAATTGGCGACGCCTGAAGAGGTCCGTCTAGAGCAATCGTGAGACTAAAGACTTAGCCAAGCGAGCTCCAGACGTCAAATTCAAGCGGAAGAAGTCTCAAATTGAATCGAGTCCTCTTGTGTATTCCGAAAAACCTCACCGAAAGGTTCATCCTACTAAAGGCTCTCATGAAATGGAGGAACTACGGATTCTGTAAGCATTAGATTTAAGGCAGTGGACTTTTTTACTGTTGCAGTGAGGTCCCAAAGACCCATGTAAGAAATTGAGAGAAGCATGGTCGCATAAAAAGCTTCTACAAAACAAATAGCAATTCTGCAGAATGACTGATACTCGGCAGAAGTGTCCAAGCCCTGTAGCGATTTGCAGGACGACGTATTATTAATCATTTTTTTCGAAGTGCTGACGGACATCCTGGACCTCCCAGAACTTTGCAAGGAAGCCATCGGACCTGAAGCGGTGGCAACGACAATTTGCTTTTTGACCACACATCACTCATGGAATCCCAAGAATTCCTAGCTATGACACTTCGAATCGGTAACACCCAGATTCGAAGGCGACTGGGACCTTCATTCGATGTGCTGTATGGAAGATCATCCCACACATTCTGGGGCTTTCACTGGAAAGCTCCGTCTACGGTACAGTAGCTAGTATCTATCCCACTTTTCCACCTACAATATAACCCACCAGCTGACATAGATTCCCAAGGAGGCATTCCGTAAGAGAAGCCATTGGAAACATTCGGAATGCTGGAAGGAAAGGGGTAGTAAACGGCTTCACATACCCTGGTTAATACCGCTGCTTCGAACCCGGTGACGCCTCTTCGATGCTCAGAACGTTATGCACATTTATCACCTATCCCAGGCGATGATTTATGTCAAGGTGCCTTGCTTCCCTAGCCAAACCCAATTACTCCCTAATTGGCTACGATGGTTGAGTGCACCAGAATGACAGTCGTTAATCCTCCTGCTGGTCTCTTGGTTTTCGAAAAAATTCCGTTGACATGAATTTTGCATGAATTCCACAATCTGACTGGACAGCACTGATGATTCCGTGCTTGCGTTCCTGCACAGAAAGGATTTGCCCACAGGGATTGTACAGCGGAACGAAAGCAACTCCTTGTTGTCAACAACGCATGCACTTGTCAACGGATGTGAAAGGCATATCAGTCGCTACAGCTGTCAAGAATGAGATTCACAACAGAGGAGGGTTGATCTATGGTATGCTGACAGAGTCGTAACGGAGTGGTTCCACGCCGCTCCTTAGAAAGCACCGTTAGCGTTACTGTGGCGCTACAACGACCTAGTCGAGCCATGTACCAGGACTTTCTGGTAGTACTTTTTAGAAGTGGACAAACAGCAAGAAATCCCTTTTTCTCGACAACAGAACCCTCATAAGGCAAAGGTAACACCCGAGAAAATGCAGTAGCTTGGCTAGAAAACACTTCCTTATGAGTTTATTGAATCTGGTATCTTCCATCACCTTTGTTTGTGGACCTAAGTCAGAATCTATGGAGAACGTGACAAGCTGAACCAGCACAGGAAAGATGGCCAACTTCCTAGGATCTTCGAAGAACTGAGACCAAAGCATCGACAGAAAAATGCTGAAAGTAATCTCAAAAGCTGAGAGTATCCCACTGAATCAAGCCTCACCTGGGTTGAGAATCTCACAGACTTTTCTTTGAGACCCAATAATTCAAAAGTAATGGGCATATTAAGTATGTGAAAGACAGATGAAAGCAACCCTAGACACCATCGGTGCCTTGCTGTAAAACTAGAGATACACCAATGGGTATCTAGAGATTGATTTCTCTCAAAAGGACTCTGATCCTCCTGAAAATCGCTCAACGGATGATCAGAAGCTGCACAAAGAGTTTGTAATTTCAGGGATGATAGAATAAAACAAATATCAATAATATTTGAGGTACAAAAAAACTTTCTATAATATATGTAAGCCCTAAATGGCCCTTAAATAAATTTTTCAAAGTAGTAGCATAGTGACAGGTTTAAGCAGATGCAAAGAAAATTCAGAAATTTTTTCTATAATATATGTAAGCCCTAAATGGCCCTTAAATAAATTTTTTAAAGTAGTAGCATAGTGACAGGTTTTAGCAGATGCATGCAAATTCAGAAATTTTCAAGTAACCGTTGTTGAAAAATGAAAGATGTACTAGTTATCGAAGATGGGCACGAAAATCCATACAGACTGAAAAATAATTTAAACAGCTGCCCCCCTCCCCCCCATAACAGTGTGCGACAACATGTTGGCAAAGGGAATGCCTTCCTAGATACGAAAACGGAATGGAATTCAAATCAAAACATTTTCAAACACCGATTCGAATCGTATGAAGCTAGGCTAGCCGTGACCCTGAATGAACAGCAGCGTTCGCATTGCCAGACAACTAGGCAGGTAAGTCGTCGTTGGGACTTCCTCCATAACTCTGTTCGCATGTATCGATATCGATTGATATATGAGTAGATAGTAACCTAACAGCTTATCAATTATAAATAGGTGAAGTAAATATAGGAGAAACTATACCCGCTATATAGCATGAGAGTGATTAAAAAATGATAGGAGGATTAAATAGAAAGAAAAAAAATTAAAAACCGCTGAAAATTTCGATTTTTGGTTAGTCGATTTCGTTCAATATAAAATTGAAATCTTTCGTAAGCCACAAAGAACTCTTTTCTGCTTTGGATTACTATTTCAACTTTCAATTTCGATCGATACACCCTTTTTCTATGCCATACCAGAATCGAACAAACCTGAGCGCCTGATATCAGAATTTCAAGATAATTATCTTTCTGAGTCGAATACTTCCCAATGGATTGACTTTCCAAGTTTGTACAGCCCACTTACTTACTATTACAGCAGATCTGTCAACCACCAGAACGAATCGTGCACCGACGGTTTTCCAGTAGAACTGGATATATGACGTCCGACAAAGGGGTCTTATTCAGGAAAAAGGTGGGTGATGGGAAGAAAACAGAAAACGAAAACGGACAGAAAACGATTAAACACTTGACAAATCTTGAAAACAAACACAGTTCTTTAATTTCAGCCTTTAAACACACACCATGGACTAACCGAAAAAAATGAGAAGGAAGTTGAACTGTAAATAACAGATTAGGTCTCAGGTCGACTGTACTTTTAAAAAACGTCTTCCGTTGACTCTTTGTTCATTTTGTCCTCCTTTGTCATCCTTCAGACCAACATTCACCGCTGGAATCAAACCTATAACGAACTTACCATGCCAAAGACGCATCAACGAAACAGATGGATGGGATGGATGGGAGGACGACCAGGAAAATATCGGATCCAGTGGTGTAGTGAGAAAAATCCAGCAATCCCAAGAAATAATTCTGCTTAAAAGCACCGTATTTGATTTGATTGTGAATTATGAAGAAAATATTTCAAGCCTGTACCTTTCAAGAAGCTCAACCAAGTTTCCTACGGTTGTAACTTACGCTTCAGCCCTTGAAAACCAGAATTTTACCCTAAAACGACGACTTGGATCTTCGCTAAATAATAGGAATTTCAAATATGCAACAATACCTGTAAATATATTATAAATATGCCAATCTTTGAGAAAGAACACGCTGTTGAAGCCAGAAACTCTTGAAAGTAACAGCCTGTAACAAACTCATTCAGAAATAGACAATCTCCAGAGCAATCCCATCAGAAGAAACGGAAATCTTCCTAGATACGTCAGAATTTGTGAAAACTGAAGTTCGAATGAAAAAATTGCAAAAAAATGTTTTTCTGGGACTGGAAGCTGGCCAACATTGCAAATAAAAAATCAATGGGCTCGATAGGCAATGCATTGACGTAGGATGAAATTGATCAGATCAGGTTGCAAATGTGATCTACCGTTCCAAAGATCAAAACGATTCGAACCCGAAACTAAGGTACCAACGACCCTAACCGACTCCCTCGCTCCCCCCTCACCCCCCCCCCC